GGCGCTTGACGCTTGACGCTTGTGTTATGCGGCGTACGGAGCGCGCGAGCGGTCCAGTCGCAGTCGCAGAAAGACTGAGCGTTATGTGTCCAAAAAACGTCTGAGGGTCTCGCCTGTGTTCGCTTTCTGTCAGTTGTTGTGAGTGTGCGGGTTCCGTGCCACGGGCGAATCAGTATTTGTGTATGTTTCGGGCTGGAATGGATGCGATTCGTCGGTTGGGTTGAGGGGGTGTATGAATGGGGGGTGAGACTCTCTGCGGTTTTCGGGCTGTCACCTGTTTTTCTCCGAACATGGTGAGGGATGGGAAGGGATACAATGTGTCAGAAGTCAAATCGGACGATCTACTCAGCTGTCAAAGCAAATGGGTGGGGGGATCTGGACATGGCGAGGCAGCTGGGAGGGAAAGTAGACGGGGGAAGGATTTCGCAATGGGACGAGACGAACTCTGAGGTTATCGGGGTGGTGGGCAGATCAAATCGTCATGGATTATGGCGTAGCTTTCTCTCGTTAAACTCGGGTGTCAAGGTGATAGCCTTTGACGGATCAATGTTGCCGAAGTCAAATCGCCGAAGGGTTCGAAGTCTGTCCCAAGCTCCCTTAGACACAGCTTGAGCTTGAGCTTATTCAAAGGTCGAATTGAGGGGTCTTTTTGTTCAATGAGTTTGGTTCATTCCTACAATCTGCCTTTGAGAATGAAAGGTTAAGCTTATTGCCCTATCTGCATATTCGCCATGTGCTGCTGCCCATCTCACCGCGCGGACGTACTTTGACCCGCCGTTCCCGCAAAAGCTTGACTGCCGACATGTGCTGCTTTGATATCTTTCCTGTTTAAAAGGTTTATGGGAATTTGATTTGGCGAGTTCGAGATTCGGAAGGGGTTTTGCAGTTTCCGAGGATTAAAAGGATATTGGGATTGTCTAGACCCCGTCTCCCGTGGCCGGATGAAACGTGATACATACCGATAGGGCTGAGGTACATTACCCATCCTTGGCGTGTCAGTGATCTTTGACTCACGACCGATCGGATGCTCTTTTCTTCAATGCTGGATCTATGCTCGGGCTCTTGTAGGACTCCGGTTTTTGCCGCTGCTTTCGAGTGTGCTTGGTGGCTCGCGGCCATAGGCATAGACTACTGGCCACTGCGCTTGTCAAGAGGAGACGGCTGTTTCCGGGTCGCCGACGGCGGGTCGTTTATGTCTGTGTCAGATCGTAGAAGATAAAGATTCGGGGTGCAGATGATGCCGGGAAGACTCATTTAAGGTGTGAGTGGGGTTGCGGGCTATGCTGATAAGAGGTTAGAATCTGGACCCCTTTTCTAGGGGATTTGGCGATGCTTTCTGAAGGTAGAGAAACATTGCTAGTGCATGTGATTTTCGGCAAACCCATTTAAGGTGTGAAGGCCATGGGTCATGCTGAAGGACAACTGAATTTTGGACCCTTTTTCTTAGAAACTGGCGATATTCGGCGATCTAAAAGGTGGCCCGACGCGAGAAACCCGATAGGTTCTAATTACGGTGCTGGAAATTGTTGGTGTTAGATCCAATGTAAGCCATGCATAGGAATACTACTAACAACAACAGTAGATGCCGCTCTATGGGGGGATGTGAATGATCACCAAGACAGCCATAAGGTCTGGTGTTCCGAAATCTGATATTTCATGCAATTGAGACAGGTGACGTCTGACATAGCGTGAAAAGATGAGTGCGTCGAGTCATTCATACATCGAGAACTTGAGACAGCGTTGTCTGAAGCCTAAGCCTTTTATCTTACTTGATAAAAAACATAACATATACTGGACTCTGAATCGTCTGGAAAGGTCAACGTACATATCTGAGGGCCACATATGAAGAACACAGGATGAAGACGATTCAGCGGCCTGAAATATGCTTGTCGAGCTCCAGATAGAAGATTCCACGTCAGTCACCATAAAGGTTTGAATACAGCAACATGGACCTTTCGTTGCGCGTTAAATTTCTTTGGGAATTTTGTGTCGCCACGTTGGTGAACTTTAGATACTGTGTGTCGAAAATACAGTGGGCTGCGGAGGCTCTTGCTTTACCAAATAGGTTTGAAGCAGGTAAACTTGTGGAAGGACGCGACTGCTTCAACCTCAGTCCAGGAGACTGTTTCCGTCAAAAATAGTGCCCAGATCGTTCAAACCTGGAAAGAGAACAATATCTGGTAGAATCTCTGCTAATAGAGTTAAGGCCTAGGCCCGTAAGACGTAAGCAAGTCGCCCACTGGGTGTGCGTTGAAATCATCGCGACGCTGGTTCTCAATCTTGCCATGTGGTTTGGTCTTAGTGCATAGTCGTGATTTAACCAAAAGGCATATTTCCTCATCTTGTAATCTATCAAAATGGGGGACGCTCTCTTGTAGCACCATGCTGATCAGTCCTGAGCTGCTGCTTCAGGAAAGGCTTTTCCCGCTTATTTTCATGTCAATCACCACTACCACGAGGCTTCCATAGTTAAAAGCCAACAAACCTTTCAGATTCATTCGGATGAAGTCCATGTTAATAACAGGCTTACTGAAAATAGCATTCAACTGTTCGGGGTCCTCCACAAATCCGGTAACCTCAATATCACGGAGTTAACGGAGGTAACCATGAACCTTGCTCGACTCTCATAACAGTACTAGCTAGCCGTTTTAGTAAGGTGTCCAGAGAGGCCGGTAACTCCGCAACTTTGCATTAACTGATTCGCCAAATTTCGCTAAATATTGGACTCTACTGGAGCATTGGAGTCCAGAAAATGGCACCTGGATGCGATTCATAGTACAGCAATCCTAGCTACTGAACGCCCTACGCCCTACTGCCAAGATTCAGCCGAGGTCGACTACTAACTTCTATGAGTGAATACTAATCTCGGAATTGTCTTATTCAAACCATTGCGATAGTTATCTAAGGATAAATAAAAAGGCGTAGGCCACCCAAGTGCCAATCACGGGCATCATGGACGTCAGCCAGCTCAACATACGAGAGTTATGGCAACATCACGCCAGGTAACCTACGACAGCCGCGGGCTGAAGATCTTTGCAAATCTTTTCTTTCCTCCCGCGTCAGCTCCCGACCGCAAGAATGCTGCAATTGTTGTTGGTCACCAGGGTACAGGTGTCAAAAAGCAAGCCTCTGGCCTGTACGCCAAAACACTTGCCTCTGAAGGGTTCATCACCCTCGCCTTTGATGCAGCCTACCAGGGAGAAAGCGAGGGCTTACCCCGAGGCTTAGAGGATCCCGCACAACGTGTCGAAGACATCAAATCCGCCGTCACGTATCTCTCAACCCTCGGAAACGACGTAGTCGACCCGTCTCGAATTGGCTGTGCAGGCGTCTGCGCCTCTGCAGGCTACGGAATCAGCGCCGCAGCAACAGATCAGCGCATCCAGGCTGTCGCCGGCGTATCTACAATGTGCTTTGGCACTTTGACCCGAGAAGGCATGAAGGATCCAGCAACCGGACAAATCGACGCTGTGAAACTGTCCCAAGGCTTGGAGCAGGCCGCGAAGGCTCGGATCGATGAGATGGAAGGCAAGGCGTCAGTGACTCACAGCATCCTGGACGTATTTTCTCATCCGAGGGAGGACATCAGGGCATACTACAATGATCATCGGTGGAGTAATCCCAGATGCACCAATGAGATGGTGACGAGGAGTATGGAGCTTCTCGTCACATTTGATTCATTTCAATACATTGAATGGATCTCGCCGCGGCCTCTGCTGTTGGTTGCCGGAAACGAGGCAATGACGTTCCCATATAGTCAACAGGTTCTCCAAAGGGCCAAAGAGCCGAAGGAACTTTTCGTCATTGGTCGGGCTGGCCACGTTGAGTTGTATCAGGATGTGTCAAAGAGTGGACCGAAGCTGGTTGACTTCTTTGCAAGGGCACTTTGCATGTAAGCAGTCCCGGGATGGGGTTAGAAGTAGTTGCCAGAATGAATAGAATCTATAGCGACAGCTCTTTGGTGAAGAAATGGCAGCGGACGAGTACTTTCCAAACAGGAAGCAGCCCGTATCCTCATGTATGTTGGTCCATATGACATGGTAATGAAAGCTTAGACGACGGCATGTCCAAATTCTTCTGTCTCATAGCTCCTAATCTAAGAGACGGCAGACTTCTCGCTGAACGTTAGGGTTGCGTTGATGAATTGGCCTCAATGTTTCAGGGACAACGAGGTTGCCCAAGGCCAAGGTGGCCTTCATTAATAGATACCCCCGAAGAGACGCTGTTGAAGAAGTGTACCGATCATGGATCGCGGCTACCCTCTTTATGCAGACACGGACTTGTGAACTCATATGGGTGTCCCTCCGTAGCGGGGAACCTGGTTATCGTATCGGTGGAAGGGGGCGAAGGAGTCGTCTAAGCTTAACTCGCAACTTTACGTCCTTACATCTTATCGTCAAACCGACAGACTGTAAAGCGCTATCTACTGAGAGAACTACTTAGGACTAGAGGTAGTAGCTAATTTTACACAACATAAATATGTTAAAAACGGTGGACCAAAGGTGGTTAATCTCCTGAGAAGTCGTTTGATTACTACTGTGCTCTATAACCTCCCCTTTCTATCTCTATTGTCATCGTCGTCCTTGTCGTCATCTTCTTCTCTGTTGTTGTCATCATCCCTGACGTCGGCGTTGTCCCTGTCGTCGGCGTTGTACCTGTTATCATTATCCCTGCCATCGCCATCAATAGTTTTATCTCAGGTATTCTTCTTAACATAGATAGCAAAAGTTACTAACTCTCGAAATATCATAATAAATAGTGAGTCATTAACCTTTATAGACCTAAGAAGCTTTGGAATGTTTCTGCACACGCCACTTAATTGTCTGTGGGATAGTTCAGGTTTAGGTGAGGTAGCATAAGGTAGAAAACGTCTTTAATAAAGTTAATCTCTTTGCGCAGTCTCTTCACCTTCTTACCCATCCCAATATCTTGCGCAACTACCTCCATGACAACAAATGTTGCGTCTGGGGTATTGTTTTGACGCATCGTAGCCCTCTTATCTACCTGGCATCTTCAGGGAAAAACGCAAGCACCGGACTAAGAGCTTCACGATACAAATACCGCTCTCTCTCCCTTGCTGCCGCCTCCTCACGGCCCATGCCTCCCTCCTCGTCTAGTTGCACCGTGATAAGCTGGTAGTCGTCTCTATGGGTTTTGCGCCAGGCCCTTGCTACTTCCACGATCGTTCCTATGAATCTTGAAGTATAGAATAGCGTTGCGACCGCCGAAATGACAAAGCTGGCCTGGGTGACCCGACAAGGTGTAGCCATGTCCTCTGGGCATTGCCGAGTCAAGTACCACGGGAGAGGGCTCGGATGCTGCATATCCGAAAAGTCTGGCGATGCCTGCGATGATAGGCTATGAAACCAGAAGAACGCGAGAAGACCATCGTATAATAATGAAAAGATTTGAGAGAATTGACCGAAAAAGCCCATAGTGAATCGAGCAAGCATAAGGATTGCAGATAAGATTGCAACCGCGAGGGTGGCGTCGACAAGCCTAGGGAAGAAAAGAAAAAAGTCAGCATCACCATTGAGTTTCATTGTAGAACGATGAGGACGCGTGAGAAAAAGAAATCACATACTCCTGCGACCAGACCAGCGGAACTTTAGGGGGCTGATTGCAGTTCGGATCACAGCGGACCGGCTGGCTTGGGCTGGAATTCCAACCCTCGGCGCCCCCCTTTTCCCATAGTTTCAGTCGATAGTTTCTGAAGGATATCACCAAAAAGAGACTGATAGCAGTTGCACAGAGGCAAAACTCAGGTACGAAGGTGAACCTGTCGGTTATCTTGGCTGCCATTTTCACAAGCTGCAATGTCAGCAATGTGACGGGTATGCATGGACAATCTTGACCTTTTATTGTGTCTGAACGTATGATACATCATAAAAATGATGCGTTAATCGCGGTTGGTAGCTGCCTTGACTGTTCGTATCTGGGTGGAGGTTCCGAGACCGAAACTTGCTCATACTGCCGCAGGGGTCACGGGAATGCGGCGGCGCGATACCTTCTGCATCGCCCTGCGCGAATGAACTTGGACACGATTACTGGCTTCGTCGAATGGGGAAGTAAATCACACATTGAGTGGAGATTTTTCTCCATTTCTAGTTAGCAGGAGCGAGTGCCCCGAATATCCAGATATCTTGGTCAAGACTAAGAGTGCAATGGCTACTTTACACTACAGCACAGGTTATCATTGCATCAAGCAGATTGCACGCGGTGTATGTTACTTAGCCTATGGCCCAAGTACATGATGTTTCATTGTAATTTATGATGGAGCTTGGTACTTCAGATTCCAAGCTTTATGAACGTCCACGTCTTGGCAGCATCATGCAGCAGTCATGCGCACCTCTCGTTTGGCTCAGCTTCCGAGCAGGTATGCGCAAGTTGACCCCGCAATCGCTGCGACTCGACGTTTATTTTGAATCGCCTCGTACATCAAGGTAGAGAGTTCAAGTCATATAGGGCCTCAATCACCGTCTTCATCCGCTGTGTCTCGATCCTTCCATCAGCTAGATCGATCTCCTACTATCCATAAACATAACTCCGAAGCCCCAGAGTCAATTCGATCTAAGAACTTTTAATCTTCGACGTTTTTCCATGGCTCTCATCATTAAATGGGGCGCTGCGCCGCAATCTCTACTCAAAGCACACCGACGATACCTGCACTCGGACAGGCATAAGCCTCGAAAGTCTCCTCATCAGCTCAGTGACGAGGCTCCATGGCCTCGGACCCCCTTTCCATCACCCCATGAGATTCTGGGCGCGCAACCGGGGGTTCCTTACACCAAAAAGCACTTCTACCGGCTCGTGAAGCTATATCACCCCGATCTTCGTACTCTGAACAAACCCCGCGTGGTCAGTGTTTCGCACGCAACTATGACTGAACGCTACCGCCTTGTGATTGAGGCACATAAGATACTCAGTGATCCAAAGAAGCGATTGCTCTATGAAAAGTATGGACTGGGTTGGAGTGAGTCCGGACAGCGGACTCAGCAAGCACCTCGCCCTTCATACAGTACCACAGCTCGTTCAAGATACGATGACGCCTCATTCACTCAGAAGGACTCGCCACAGCGTCAATTCCCAATCTACGCATCAAACACTGTAGTTGCCATTGTTTTTGTTGCGATGGCCATGGCAGGGGGTATTGCTCAGCTCGAGCGTGCTCGAAAAGCCCGGTGGGATTTTCAAAAGCGAGATTTGGCCCTGCAGGAGGCAATTAGCAGAGATCTCCAACACCTGGCAGACCAGCTCGAAGGAAAACCAAGAGACTTGAGAATATTAGAATTCTTGGCACGAAGAGAACTTAGCAGCTGGTCAACACTGGAGGGCCCGCACGAAGGATTCAACCCGTACGAAAACGTTTGCCGCCATTGATCATTTGAGCTATATGTCTCAATTTCCGAGTGGCTAATTATCAGGATTATATCTCTCTGAAAGAATGTGTATTTGAAATCAACTGGTTTTGTCTTGCCCTGGCCTATTTTGCTTAGAGTCCTGCTATCAGGGCGGGGGGTGGGCGTAGACGACGATAGGGACGACGACGACAACGACAACAACAATAGGGACGGGGAAAGGAATCAAGATAAGAAAAGCAGAAACCACAGGGACGACACGGACGACAGTAAGAATAAAATTGTGTTAGCAAAATAGACTATCAGACCTCATGTAAGTAGTTATCCGCCTGGACAAAAAACCAACATCCCTGTTACGTTTATTGTTCTTACTGCATCGTCGGTCTTATCCCCGCGGCAGCCTAAACTATCCCCCTTAAAAATTGAAATGCTTAGCTTCGCGTTCGGCAGCTGTAAGAAGCTCTGGTATATCGCTACAAATGCCGCTCAACTTAACGTGGTCTAGTCCGGTAAAGCCATCTGCATCCATAGCTAAAATACCACCACCAGGTAGTAAAGCTCGAATGATCTGTACAATACCCGCCCGCCGAAGACTTAGATACCCGCCATAAGTCGTGATTTCCTTGTCAGAACCAGTTGACATATCATATGCTTCACTTCGAGGCATGATACATCTTCGACCATGTTGAGGATCTAAGGTAATCCTGCAGGCAAAGATCAACGGTGTGAGGTACACAGTTCGGCGCCAAGATCTATGCTCCATGACAAATACTGATCCTGAAGCGCCGAGGGACACTAATTTCTCCACGACGTTGGCGGTGCGGTGCAAAGTTCCCTCACCAGTACCACATCCGAGCAGCTTAGCCAGCAGCTGACTAGCTGTCATGCAAACCTCCGGGGCCATCTCGCCAGCTAGAATCTTGCCTTCGAGGGCGTCAAGAAAGCAAGGGTAGGTGATGTTACCCATGTAGGATGCGTTACCTATGGGTAAGTATAGAGCAATGGTACTGTCGTATTCGAGAAGGACCTTCATCTTTTCGTTCATAGTGAACGAATTTCGCCATCGCAGGTGGTATGCTATCTCATGAACCGCTTCATGAAAGACTCTTCGATCCTCCTTGGAAGAAAGGTTTACGAGCCCGTTGCTCATGAGCCAGACGAGGCTCTCCTTATTGACCAAGGTATGTGTCATTGCAGCCCGTAGGATATGCTTCATAACAGGATTGAAGCCCCTTGGGGGAAGCGCACCGGTAGCTTCGTTGATGAACTGCAACATACGATGAATATCATCTGCAGATGACACCATTTCCAATGCGCCGTAGATGTACCACAGCGCAGTTGACCCATCAAAAAGTCGACCTTCATCATCAGAGGTTGACAGCCTTGGCACCGTGAGAAATAACTTCTCGACGAGGGATATTCGGCCGCAGCTGATAGCTTCACAGACAATCCTGGGGTTGAGTGGAAAGACAGAATTCTCAAGAGCGAGGGAAAACACCTCGTCAGGAACTGAGTTTTTGATCATATCTTTGAATAGGCTGTCGCTGTCGCAGGGATTTGTGTATCGTCGAGTGCTCTTCTGTAGCAAAAGGCGGAGTGTTGCTGTATGACGGACGAAATATAAAGGATTCCGACGTTTAGACGGCCCCTTCAGAGGCAAGTCGCTGAGCTTGGCTCCTCTTGACATCAACAACTGCGCGGCGTCAGCGTCGCCTGAAAGCAAGCTGGCACCCACTATCGGAAGTTGTTCATAGCATTCTTTGGCCGATATGAACGAAACCGACAGTCTGGGGCTCATGCCAAGATCGATACACTGTGTCATCATTTCGAGATGTCCAGTGACAGAGGCCCAGATGAATGCGTAACCTTCATCTCGGGCCACGGCATTTGGCACCAGGCGCTGACAAAGAACGGAGCTAAACCATCGCGACACCAATGCCCATTGAAGGTGATCTTTGGATGCCAGTGAGCATGAGATGTCCTGAAGAATCTCGATAGGCAAGTCCCAGATGGCCAGCTTGCTGCTGGCGACAGGCTTAAGAACTTCCATTCTGTAATGATCCAAGCTTCCGAGTTGTGTTCTTGTGCAAACGATGGCCTGGCGATTTTGGTAGAAAAGAAGTGACGGAGTAGATGTCTTGGTTTTGTGCATGAAAGTTGGGTGAGTATTTGGAGTGTTAGAAATGGAAACAATGACAATGCAGTCGCAAGTCTAGGGAATACTTTAATGTACAACAGCGTATATCAGTGGAATGTTTCGGAGTTACGAAATCTGACCAGATGTTTCCAAGAAAGGTTTTTCGAGGCCTTACCCGGGGGTGACGAGTCACGCTTTGCACTCTCACAACCTTGAGGGTAGTGGCTCAAAGTGGTGACATCTGAGTTATGCACATGTATAGACTTGCTCTCAGTGGGGAACGTGTAAGCCCTTAATCAAATCTAAAGTCTAGGTGTATTCAAACAGTTTCGAGATCCCAGCGAATGAAAAAGCCCTACGACCATTTACTTTGGTTGCCCTCAAATAATTCACTCCTTGGAAGTTTGGAAAATAGCAAGAACACAAATTGTCATCCGCTCCCGCAGGAACCCTCATTGATCAATCAAATGCAGATCTTGCCAGTTCGTCTCATCCCCAAAGAAGAAATAGCAAGTCAGGGTTCCCTTTAGCTGAAACATTGAACATTCATGGTAGATGATAGCGAGTATGATGCGGATACTAAAGATTAGTAGCAGAATCGTAGCTACAAAGGTTGAGCTCCGCTGCCTCGCGGAACATCTCCGCCAGAATGACAAAGCTCATTGCCTGACAGCAGAGGGGAAGACCGGCGATGGGACTCTGAAGCGACACAGTTATAGACGTGATTGGCAGCGGCAAAGACCGGCTTTGATAGCTACGAAGACAGACATCGTTGATCAGAATCACAGCATTATTTGAGTGTAAGAAACTGTATGTCTCTAAACGTATTATTGCTAAAATATCAGGCCTACGTGCTAGCCGCCGCTGTCGTCGTGACAGGTGCAGCACTTGTTGCAGCAGATGTGGCTGCCGCCGTAGTGCCCGAAGTAGTCGAAGTTCCTGTTGATCCACCCTTCACAACCGTAGCTCGGACAACTTGGCCGAGCGTGTTGAAGACGATATTGACTAACGAGCTTAGCGGAGCATACTCGTAGACCTTTTGAACCAAGCCATTGCCGAGGTCCGTCTGAGATCCAGTGAAAGTCATGTTCTGCTGGTAGTTGCCAATGATGCTGCTAAGAGCGCTACTACCAGCGTTGGTGACTTCTTGCACAATGTTGCCGAGGTTGTCGATGAGGAAGTTGATCTTGGTGTCGCCGTTGACGATGGATCCGAGAAGACCATCCACGGCGCCGATGACATCGTCGACGACATCTCCCACTGTGTCGAGGAGGTTGATCAGGAGCGGGTTCAGGTCGAGGGATGCC